CACTGAGGGGGACAGCAGTGGTATCTGTGGTTCAGGGTATCACTGACCTGGCTTGTGTTTCTGTATTTAAGGTATCATGCCAACAGTGAAATAATGTCGTACTCTCTGAGGGTGGTATTTCTGTAGGATTTCTCTCATGATCCTCCAAAAGGCCAAGTTCACTGCCTTGAACATATGTAGTAAGACACTGCTGAATAAATAAATGAATGGCAATTCTGTGCCTTGGGGTAGAAGTAGACTCAGCTTCTACTTCTACCCCACTACGGTGGGGTCCAAGAGTCCAGAAGATTTAAAGGCATGTGAATCTGAATCACTTCCAAATGAGTTTGTGTCCAAAGGTTAAGTGAAACAAGAGGGGAAATGGTCCATAAGCACATCAAGGGGTTCACCAATAATCTCTTTAATGGACAAAGGAAGTTTTCATTTGTTTTTGGGTAGAGTTTTTTAAAAAGTACTTTCTCTTAAACTTAGAAAGTTAATATTCATGAGGTTTGTTAGAGTCCTCACAGAGCAACCATGGCTCACTAAATATTGAGTGGCTTTCCTCTGAGGCATATCTAGGGCAGCCAGATCAGAGATGCCAGCTTCTAAGAGCCAGCCCACACCATGCTTTCTTTAGTGCAGTTGTAGTGGGTTATTTGTCTGATCCTGGAAATCAGAAAGGGCATGGGGCAAGATCCCACTTGACATCCCAACTTACTGAAGTAAAAAGAGAGGTTCCAAGTGTGGCAATGCTCTAAGAGTAGAATCCCCAAGATTCCTCTAATTACAGAATTTTCAGAGTCCTATTTATAATCCTCTGGACCATTACCGTACTACTAATGCAGATCAGGGCCACCCCCCAACCCGGGAGCCCCTTATCCTTATATGTTACTATCTAGAGTTAGAGTCTCTAAGCCTGATATTGATCTGTATATAAAAGGTAGTGAGTTCCGATAGAAGAATTCAGAGAAATGTTCAAGGAAACATCTTTCATGAATAAACTCTACTCCTTGTCTTGGACAGTTCATTTTATTTGGTGTTAGCAATCCAGCTGTAACACTTTATAGTATACGGAGTCTCTGGGAAAAATGGAACACTGAGATGTAACTAGAATGAATTTATACGTCTGAAATCTCTCCAGACTAGGAACCCATAGCTCAAGTGCACCAACAGGAGTGAACACTGTTCCCAGCCTTACTCGTCTGTCTGCTGCTACCTTAGTGAGCTCCTTTGTTTTGTATCATGCTGCTGAGTCCTACAGCCAGGCTGCGGGCCCTGGGTTTTTACTAAGCAAAGCTCAGAATATTTTCAAGTGATACAAATAACTATAGATAACCCACATTTTATAGATTGTCTGCATTTAAAAAAGAGGATGATTTAATTTTACATAATCCGTATCTGTTCTTTAGACAGAAATAAAAATAGAGTTAATAATAATGCTAAGACATTAGCCTGGTGTGCCTATTCTTTTGGCAACCCTGAAATTCCTTTTTAGGGCTTTTCTGAGCCATAATTTAGTCTCCTGATTGGGACGACGTATTATACAGCAGTACCTGGAGCAAAGTGACTGCTATAGGTACTCGAAGCAGTTATGTCCCTTATAGTTAATGAGCTTATGAATTCACACTGCCTTTTAACTCAAAATCTTCTAAGTCTGGGGGCACCTGGGTGCCTCAGTGGGTTAAGCCTCTGCCTTCAGCTCAGGTCATGATCTCAGGGTCCTGGGATCAAGCCCCGCACTGGGCTCTCTGCTCAGCAGTGAGCCTGCTTCCTCCTCTCTCTGCCTGCCTCTCTGCCTACTTGTGATCTCTCTCTCTCTCTCTGTCAAATAAATAAATAAAATCTTAAAAAAAAATCTTCTAAGTCTGGTTAATACTGGTTTTCAGTCAGCAACTATTTATTGCATAACTGCTGCGGCGGGCACTAGGCTAGCGACTGGGGATGCAGTAGTGAGAAAGGCAGACAAAGTCCTTTAATTACAGTCTGATGATTATCCTGGGCCTGATTAACTCTGACTTGACTGATAGAATCTAATTCCTAAGCCTGTTAAACTGGAGGGTATATCGTGGGTTGAAGAGTCACTTGGTGAAGTCTTAGCTGAAAGAGCCAGGCAGTTCTGCCCTTAATTACAACCCTCGGAACTGAGAAAAGAGAAGGGAAGGAGGGAGGGAGGGGAGAGGAAAGACAAGAATTATCAGCTGAGGTATTGGTGCCACTCACGGCACCGGAGAGGTGGCTGAGGCTGGAGGCAGGCCCACAGCACGAGGGGGGCTAAGTCACCGTCATTACCCATTCCTCCCAGATCCCCCCAATGCCAAAATAATGCCTAATGAGGAAAGAAGCAACAAAGTGACTACATGAAAAGTTCTCTATAATGGACTTATGGAGCCAATCCGGGGAAGCCTGTCTGGTAAGTTCTTCATTGTACAAGTCTCTCATGATTATTTTATTACCCATATAGGGTAATACATTTTGATAGGGAAGAAATTAAGCTATACTAGCCAGAACCCAGGAAGGAAGAAAGTTAAAACTTAGCTCTGTGCTAAAGACCTTTTTCTGCCTCACTCAGTAATGAGAGAGACTAAAACAGAGGCGCTAGTTCTAAAGCTTTATATGTCTAGGTGTTAAAAATGTTGTTGAATTATATAAAGTGATTCATTTCAAATTTAAGTCTCAGAGCTGAGCCTTGGGTGGGTCCTGTGACGTAAACAGAGGATATTTAAACCTATATCCACAGAACAGAATGTCTTACCTACACCATTGTGGAGAAAGATGAGGAAAAAAACAGTTTGTACCAATTCATGCCACGGGTGGTCCTACGAGAGTATGAGGACAAGGTCATGAACTCAGGACCACGACCATGGAGAAAGCCCAAGACATATACACAACTGTATTAGAGGCAAGCTTGAGCGGTCCAGGTCTAGCTTCTTATTTTTCCAAATTCAAGAGGATGACGATCTCAGACAGAAGCACAGGTCACTGAAGTGAGCATGTTATTTAATCCCTTGTCTGCTCAAGGTCAGCTCTTTAAATATATTTTTATTTTTTTAAGTCATCTCTAGACCCAACATGGGGATCGAACTCATGACCCTAAGATCAAGAGTCACATGCTCTACCAACTGAGCCAGCCAGGTGCCCCAAGGTCAGCTTTAAATTGACCTGAGAAACAAAATACCAGAAGAGGCCATATCTGGTTCTTGGATTACACGGCAATCCATAATATTCTTAAAAAAAGGAAATGTCTACTGGAAGCTCTACTGCTACCATTAAAACAGACACTCATAATATCTGCCCTCTTCTGAGAGTTTGCAGGTAAGGTGCAAGGTACTTTGGTCTGAGCTGGCGCGTTCAGAGAGGGAGGAGGAGATGCTGGTCTGGAAAGACTGCTGGCGTAGTAAGTTCCCAGCAAGTGGTTTTAGCTGTGACGTGCATCTTCAGGGTGTAGGAGAGGGAAGAGAAGAGGAAGAACACTGGCTGGCAGCAGCAACAGGTGAGGTGGCGCCCTGGACCGGCAGCAGGGAGATGAGGCTGTCAGGGAGATGGGGAGCAGGGAGACGGAAGGGGAGATGTTCTTTCCTTCCCTCAACACAAGCTCATCCATCCTCCTACTCATGGCAGGCACTACCAGCATCTGCTTTTCTGCAGCTTCCAAGCCAACTGGAGGATTATACTTCCATGTCCCTGGAAGTCAAGTGTGGTCATGTGACTTGCTTTGGCCAATGAAATAGAGTAGAAATGATGTGTGTCACTTCCTGGAAGAAGCATTTAATGACTGGGCTTGACTTTCCACCTTCTTCTTCTCCTGCTTTGCCCATGTGAATGTACCTACTGAGGAAGTGTCATAAGATCAGAGCAATGAACTATGTGCGAATGAGGAAAACAAAAAAAAAACAAGACCAAACTTTTGTTACAGTAAAGCCAATGAGATTTCTGGGTTGTCTGCCTAGCTTAATCCCATAATCTGTCTTTGTTCCCTCTGATAGTCTGTCTCTCCCTTGCTCCTTTCTTGCCTCCCTTCATTTGATCTCTTCCTTCCTTTCTTCTTCCCTTTATTATTTCATTGTCCTAACCAAAAATAAAAAATACAATGTTATATATTCCAATTCTTAATCTAAAACAAGGATCAGTTTGTTTTTTGAAAAAGAAATGAGTAAATGTTTTGAATTAAACATTTCCTATTTCTCTCTCTTAACATTAAAGCCCTGAGGTGAATTAATAATCAGCTTTACCTTGTGTAAAAAAAAAAGTATGCTTTGAAAACCTTCCAATGTTACATACATATACAGTATACTATTGTGGGTAGACATTGACACACATATACAGTATACTATTGTGGATAGACTCCCTATTGATTTTCTTATGGGTTAAAGTCTATCTGGAAAAATGGAAACAAACATAAAACTTCCCTAAACACCATGCAATAGCCATGCAGCTTAAAAACCAGAGCTCCTCCTGGAGCTGACTCTGAACAGGAAATCGCTTAGGTCATAACCAGTCACTTAGTTTTCACTGGTAACTTTGTTATAAAGGCTACTGGAGCTGCAGCATCCAGAAGCCTGTTCAAGACTACAGGATGTTTGGAGTCATCACAAAAACTATACATTGCCATGCACAATCATTCATGACATAGCATCGAGACCTGAGGTCACCCCCACAGCCCTGAAAGTTGTTTCGAGCAATAAAAGTCACTCTAGACATGAAGCAGCAGAGAATGCAAAAGCAGGAAAATGCAGTCGTAGCCTGGCTAATCATGCATATTGAACTAAACACAACAGATGTGTACTTTCAAAAAAAAATTCAACAAGCTCTGGTTTGAAGTAGGAACATGCTCTACTAGGTAAACATGATGTGGACTTTCAGGCCATTTTACACCACCACAGAGAGAGCTGCTGTGGGTTTTACACATAACTAACTCTGCAGAGATGAACTTGAGCAGGGAGCAGAGGAAAAGGTATGTAACAGTTATGTGAAGGAAAGAAAATCATGCAAAAGGAGCGAGAATTCCCAAGTTCACTTACTGCCTGCTTTTGCTCTTCCTCCTAGAGATGTTGAAGATGAAGAAAAGGAAGAGGGAAAAAGGAAAGAGATTAATGCCCATCACCACAAACATTTGGAAGAAACAATAGAAGAATCCAGCAGGCCAGGCCCCAAAGGCCCCGACCGCCACCAGGGAACTATCAGCCGGACAGAGTGAACGGCAGGTCTCTACCCTACCCAGCTCATTCAGTGCTAGCTTCTAGCGCTGGGAAACCATCTAATCCAACTTCCTCATTTACAGACCAAAAAGACCAAGGGAGCCTGACTTGCCTGAGGTCACCCAGCTGTTTACAGTAAACTGAAAGAAGTAGCTCAATGAGGCCTCCACTCCAATAATCAGTCCATTTCACCATCCCCCATATTCAAATGTGTTAGCTCTATTTCTCTAGACCGGCAGTGCTCAAAGCAGCAGCCGCACCTGGAGACTGGTCAGAGATGCAAATTTGGGGTGCCAGCCAAGACTCCCTGAATCCAAACTCTTGGGGTGGGTGGGGCACGGCAACACATTTCAGAGCCTGTCAGCTGATTCTGACGCCTGTCAGACTGAGAGCCACGGGTCTAAAAACTTCCCCCAAACTAGCAATTTCACTTGACCACAGATTCTCTTATTTAGTCCCCTTCTCTCCATTTGCTTTTGGGCTTCTTTGTGGGTTTTTTTTCCCCCCAAGGACGCACATGCTTCCCCATTCCTCCAATAAACTGGAAACTGCTTCAGGGCCCCGAGAGGCTTCTGAAAAAAGAACTCTTGACCTCAGTTTTTCACTAACTCAACACAGGTTCTTGAGTACTTCTTAGAGACATAAAGCACTGGAAACATGAAGCTAAGGTGTGGCCTCTCTTTCAGAGCCTTCCAGTGACCGTGGGCAGAGTGGGTACTCGTCAACTCTGAGCTATCCGCATGCACCACTAGAAAGAAGCCCAACAAAGACGAGATAAACACTTCCAAGTTTCTCTTTCCTCAGTCCTCGGCTCTTCAGCTACTCTGTCTTTTAACGGGTCTTTTTGCTGCTTCTTCCTGTGCTCATCATGGGTAACTGTGGTCAGGGAGCTTCTGCTCTTTGCCCCAAGTGTGCAAGTCTAAATGCTGTTGCTATGGTTCTATTTAAATCGGAGCCATCCGTGCGGGCTGTCTTCGCTGAACATGTGTGTGGGAAGTCTTAGGGATGGACGAGAGCTTCTGCTTCCACAGAGTCTGCATATCTGGGGGCCATGGTGAGAATGACTTCAGAGGGTCCCATCAATTACAAAAAGGAAAGAGAAGGCAAAAAATTTGGAAAAAAAAAATAATTCTGTTCCTGCAAGGGAGAGACAGGGACTAGGAATTAAACGGGCACCAAGAACTCTCTTAAGGAGACTCCAAGTCAGCACAAGACGATGTTCTTGGTAATCAGAGCCAGCTGCTAGCTGCCTGACCATACTTATACTCAGGATCCCAAGCAAAGAGGGGCCCTGAGCGTGAGCTGAGTTAGCCTTACAAAGTCAGTACCTTTTAGCTACTGTATCTGGTATGCTCGGCTCTGGTTAGAAGGGACTGGAATTCTGCAGTTGGGAGGAGATCTCCCTTCCTGGCCAGGCCTCCCTGTGAGGCAGAATACTTTTCTTCCATTCACTAGGCAAGGCAGACAGCCATAGGAAGAGTTATTAAACAATGTAAAATACGTTTTTATTCCTGACACTCAGTGTTGACATGGACACTGAAATGCGGGGGAGGGATGAGGCAATGCTGACGGGCTGAAATTGCAGCTGAGGTCAGAAGACCAGGATGAAGGTTCTCAGAACTGTTTCTAAGACACCTCCCTATTTTCACCGTTTTTTTCCAGGTTTAGTATTGGAGGTAACACTGCTTTGGCTCAAGAGAATAAGGAAATTTCAGAAAGTAATGTTTCATGTTTGCACATCTGGTGACTCTGCTATGGACAGCTTGTCCAAAGACATGACATCATGATAAGCTGCAGAAGCCATGTGCCAGGTTAGGATGGGAGGGGCACACAGGGCAGCCTTTCTCGGAGTCAGGGGCCTCTGCTGTACCCTGGGATTAGAAGGGAGCAGGCTTTGATAAAGGGTTGCTTAGGATGGTGTTACAGTATTCCAACTCACTGGAAGTTACTCAGATAAAGCCTTGAAGGCTCTGGCAACACAATAACAGGTCAGATACAAGGTCCTGGAACTTCTTGCTACCAGTGAGTCAGTTTCGGTCAGTAAACACTGACTGATGGCAACTGGCACGGCTGATTTAAAGGAAGTCATAATACCGTAACTAAAAAGTGCCAATCTAGAGGTGCTTATGTCACCTAAAAACATGTAAGATTCTGCCACGTGGGGGATGTCTGGCTAGGTAGCCATAACCACTGCAATTATCTGTATGAAAATTTATATTCTAAACCTTGCTCGCAAATGAGGTTGAAATCCAAAACTATAGAATTCACCTGGTGACTATGTTTTAAAAGACATATTAGAAAAATGGAAAATGAAGCAGAAGAATATTGGGAACATGATTTATAAAGTGAAACACCAACATGCAACTACTTCCAGATGAAATAAGTTTGAGACAGAGGTCACCTAAATACATTAATCAGGGGAAAAATGTAAGGAAAAGATATATGTTCTGACCATGGGTAGCTGGGTGTCAGTCTATATTATGTCATTAGAAAACAAACAAACAAAAAAAAGAAACTATTAAGAAGGTCCCTGATACTCCTTGGTGACTGGTACTAAATCTACTCATCGCCAAATACCTAAACATGATATTTAGGAACCAATATTTTCTTATTAAATACATGTATGATTATTTTTACCCTGCCTTACTCTCAAAAAAGGATTTAAGATTAGTGTTGATGAATTAATAAACAATGGTGACACTTCCTGTGTATGCTTCCTTAAATTATCACCTTTCAGATAACCAGACAATGTACATTATATTTCACTGACCAGTAGAAAGAACTTGCTGTGAAATGGAAATTTAATGTGTGGTGTATCTTAATTTATGAGTATCCCACCATGTGGTTTTATTGTCCATTTGACTAAGTGCTTACAGCTGTTTTATGAGAGAATTAAATGCTAACAGACTGAACATCAATGAAGGCAGGACAATCCTTTGAAATTAAAATTAGGATTCTAAAGTGTACTTTTATTATGGGTTGGTGAATATTTCTTTTTAATAGTAGGAAAACATTTTTGAAATTTTAATGGAAGTCAATGATTCCTATGGGTGACCTTATAGGGGTGCATATAATACACAAATTAGGATTGTGCTATCATCCTTTTAGGAAGCTGGACTCTAGAGGTATGAGATTTTCAAGTTCTAATCAATGGATAAAAAGACAACATTCCAGGTCTGTGTCACAAATTCCTCCTCCCACTCTGAATGGCCTCAGCCTATCAGATGAGTAAATTATAAGGCATTTAAGAAGGTGGCAGGGGATTCTGCAAAATGGGGCACCAGGATCCTGCTTATTTTACCGTAAGACAAAGCTAGAAATACAAAGAAACTCAGGGGTTGCGATCAGAGTTCCAGGTATCAGCTCCTTCTGCTTAGCGCTTGAACACAGGCATCAGAAGTGAACTACAAGGTCAAGTGATATACATGGGGCTCTGAACCAGGAACTCTAAGAACCATGAGGGCCACCCAGCTGATGAGAAAGCACACCACTGTACTTTGGGGAAATATATTCTGACCTCCTTTCAGTTTGCATAAATCTTTTGCCTTTCACAAAAATTACCCTAGGATACCTTCCCATCTATGTTTGGGTAATGTCTAGAGCATCTTACTAAAAGGAGTTTGACCCAGGCAAGGGGTGGGTGGATCCCTTTATCTCCCGACAGGGGACTACCGCACATGACAGGGCTTTCAAAGCCCCACACGATTCCAGAGGTTACAACAGCCAAATGCATTTAAATGCATCTTTGCTGCCTTGAGCAGGCAACAAGGCTGGAGTAGCGGGATACCTGACAGCTATTGGAGGGATGTGGGCCAGGTTTTACGCGTAAAGTTTTCTTTAAACAAGACCTACCTAGACATGAAATATTTCTTAGGAGAAATTCTGTTAAAAGGGTTAATGTAGAAACATGTCCATGCAAAACCCAAATTCCCCGGGACCAAAGCTAGGGAAAGAAAAGAAAAAGCAAAAAAACCCTCAGCTCGAGACTTAAAGCAGAGATTGTGTTGAGCAAGTCACGCGTCAGTTTAAAACACAGACACTACATTTACCCAAGCTGCTAATGCCACTAGCTTCATCGTGAAGGGACTCGTCTAGAATAGAGAAGTTGAAGAAAAGTCTCCAAGCTGATGTTCTCTGGAGCCACCACTCCTAGTCTGGACCCCATCACTCACTTCAGACTGGATGGTTATATTTGTCTCCAAGTCTCCGGTAGCTTCTCCCTTCTCTGATCTGCTCTACACATTTTCCCAAACCAGTATTTCCTAAACCTTCAATGACTCCCCTACCACAGGATTAAATCCACTCCCCTTGGCCTGGCTTTTGAGGTACTCCACACTGTGTGATTTCTACTCTGGCTTGCCAACGCTGTGTCACACCACAAAATACAGTGGTTTACAGCACAGGCACAGAGACCTAAGGAATTAGCAGCAGGAACAAAGGTGCCCTGGTATGGCTGCTCCGTATCTGGGTAAATATTTCTGTCGAATACCAGTAAAACTGTCTAGGTGAGGACATTTAAATGCCAAGCGTGCCTCTCTCTCTTCTGCGGTTCAGGGGTTGTAATACATGCTTCAACAAAAACAGTGAGATCTGAATCATCCCAGAGTTATTTAAGCCCCAGTATAAAAACCTAGAGCTGATATGCTATTTTGTTCCTCCTAATAGAGTTATTCGTTAGGATGAGTCTGATTAGCTTGGTTTGCTGCTGCAATACTTACTAAAATAGGACACTTCATAACTGTTACGCATTTAGGTGGAATATTTGAAAACCTGTCTTAAGAGAAACTTTAAACCGCTGAGAAAGATTCATGTATATATAGTTAATATCCTGTTTACAAACCTTTATATTTGTTCATAAAAGCAACTACTCAAGGACAGGACTCTAGTTCCAGTTACTCATTTTTTACCATCAGGCTTCACACTAGTTTCGACGACTTTGTGGAGTCACGGCTAACTTTACGGGCGGCGGTGTTTCAGCTTTTAGCTGAACCCCGTCCTGACACCACCCGGGAGGCTGCGGCGGAGTCCGCCGTGAAGGGGAAGAGCAGCTGAGCGGAGGGTGGGGAGGCCGGGAGGTGGGGCAAGGGGAGGAGGGGCGCCGGGAGGTGGGGCATGGGGAGGCGGGGCGCGGGGAGGCGGGGCGCTGGGAGGCGGGGCATGGGGAGGCGGGGCGCCGGGAGGCGGGGCATGGGGAGGCGGGGCGCCGGGAGGCTGCGAGCGGCCCGGCTCGCTCACCTTCAGCAGCTTCATGAGCCCTTCCAGCTGAACCATCAGCTCGCGCCTGCTCTCCTGCAGTGCCGACATTCTCTGCTCCAGCTCGTCCTTCCTCTGCCTGTCCGAGGGGGAAAAGCCCATCAGAAAGGGAACTCTGAAGATAACGGGACTTGCAAAGAAGGGTCCAAGCCTAGGTGAAATGGGTTTTGACCTGATTCTGCTACTGACCGGGGTCTGAGACGCTGAGCAAGTCTCTGCTACGTCATGTTAGAAAGTGGTGATAATATTTGTTTTGCTCTCTTTCCTTTACTGGTGTGAGAATAGTATGTAAAAATGCTTCGGAAAACACCCAATATTGATATAGCAATACAGAGAAAAAGTATTATTAATATTATTATTAAGGCGATTTAAAAAATTCCTCAGGAAGTCAAATACCACATTTAGAAATAGTCCAAATTTAAACTGATAGTGAGAAAGTGTATGAAAACTGCTCGGCACCAGATGCCAGCCTTAAGAGTGTGACTGACATCAGGTTTTTGTGTCTAAGAGAATTCACTTGTTCCTGAGGACAGATTTCATGTCAATTCTAGCTCAATATGTCCCAAACCAAACTTAAGACTGTGGTCCATAAATGGTTCTCTTTCCTGATTTCTTCCAGTTGTCATGGCTAAAAACTTTCGTCCTCTTTAATACTTTTCTGCTTCTACCCTATTCTTCATCACCCAATACAAATGATTCGTTCCTAGAAATTTATGTGTTTTTCTCTTCCCACATCTCTCACTTTATCCAGGCACACCTTACCTCACATGTGCAATGGTCTCCTATCTTGATTAATCCTGATACCATCATTATGGCGAAATGGAATAGAAATCAGGAGACTTGAGGGCCACCATTTACTAAATACTGCAACCTTCGACAAGCCACATGCCCTATAAGAGCCTCAATTTTCTCTTCACTTAAATGGGACTAATTACAAACAATGGCAATATTTTGAGGATCAAAAAAGATATGAAAGTGTTTTATGACTCTATAGGGCTGCTCAAAGAAAAAGTGTTCATTTCATCATCCTATGAAATAACCTCAGTAGAATTTCTAGCATCCCTAACTCTTGCCTTGCGCGATCCATGCCTCAGCTGTCTACTCTAGTAGCCACTAGCCACACGTGACTACTGAACACTTGAGATGGGGCTCTTCTAAATTAGATGCACTGGATCTCAAAACCTTAGTGTGAAGAAAAAAAAAAAGTAAAATATCTCATTAATATTTTTTAATGTTGATTATATGTTGAAATGCTAATATTCTGGGTAAATCAGGTTAAGTAAAAGATAGTGTTAAAATTAATGGCACCTATTTCCTTTCAGTTTCTCATCGTGGTTGTTAGCAAAGTTTTAATTAGCTATGTGGCTCACATTACATCTGTGTCAGAGAGTGCTGCTCCAGACCCTACCTACATCCCTATCCCTAGTGCCTCACCTTCTACTCCCTTCCATGTCTGGATGTCTAGTTAATGGTTCCCTTTTACCCAAACCGATCCTATCACTTCACGACTCACAGCCATTCCTCCCTTTTTCCAGATGTTATTCACTCCTTAGTGTCCAACCCACACGTCACTTTTCCCAGGAAGTTGCTCCTGATGACTTCAGCAGGTATCAGATCCTGCTTAATTAATCACCACAGCAACTGGAGCTTCTCTGTGGCACTTAATTTCTTTTACCTTGCGTTGCTGTCATTCCTAACATGGTGCAAAATCCTTGAGGTCGGGAGATGAGTCTTGGGGTGTACTGAATGATTAAGAGACTATCACGCCTCCAGTATGTACCCAGTTAACATCTAGCAAAGTTAACCCAATCACAGTTTGAAATCCTCTGAGGGCTTCCAATCACCCATCACATAAGGCTCTTTAGAATCTAGTCTTGATTATTCAACTAATTTTATCTCTATCACTGGCACTTTAAAGATTAATGCAAGGGATGCTTGAAACAAATTCTTAGCTCCGAGACTCCTTCCCTTTTCTGAAATGTATCATAGTTATTCGGGGGATCATGCTGAGCCCCAACTCCACTTCTAACCTGAAATGTTTTCTCCCAGATTCCATCCTCGTTATCCTTACCTTTCATGGTCTAGCTCAACTTCCACCACGTCCATGGGTCTAACTGCTTCCAGCGTGTGTATGTGCATTTCCCTACTTATATTCTTTCTTAAGATTTTATTTTTTTAATTTGAGAGAGAGAGGGAGATAATGAGAAGGGGCAGGACGAGAGGTAGGGGGAGAAGCAGACGCCCTGCTGAGCAGGGAGCCCAACGTAGGGCTCGATCCCACGACTCTGAGATCATGACCTGAGCCGAAGGCAGATGCTTAACTGACTGAGCCACTCAGGAGCCCCCACCTACCTAGATTTCTTACAATATAGTTTCCATACTACTTACTAACTCTATATAATATTAGTTAACTGACTAGAAAATTATTTCACATTTATCCCCAAAACTATAATATATATATTTTTTAAAGATTTTATTTATTTATTTGACAGACAGAGATCACAAGTAGGCAGAGAGGCAGGCAGAGAGAGAGGAGGAAGCAGGCTCCCTGCTGAGCAGAGAGCCCGATGCAGGGCTCGATCACAGGACCTGATCATGACCCGAGCCGAAGGCAGAGGCCCTAACCCACTGAGCCACCTAGGCGCCCCTCCAAAACTATATTATAAATTTTTAAGATGGAATCGTTTTCTAGTCTTCATATTCCCTAAATTTCTAGTGCAGTTATAAATGCAATAAAAAGAAACCGACTCGTTCAATTTTCTAGAAAGTCTTTCTTCCCTTTACTTTTAAGACTGGATGCAGGACTCTTTCCCGGTGCTGTGCATAACCAAGTAATTATAATATGTGGTGAAAATCAATGAACTCCAGCTATAAGCAACAACATGGAAGGGTCCTGAACTGTAATACTGAGGGGGAAAGGTTCTACTATCTGCATATAATAACATTTCTCTAAAGCTCAAAAAACAAAATGTAAACTAAACACTTTAATATGTGAGAATACACGTATATTTGATAATAATGTTTAAAAAGCAAAGGAATGATAAACCAAATTCTGGATGGAGGTGAGCTCTGTGGGGAAGGTGGAAAACAGGAAATGGGGGCACTTACACATGTTTAACAATATATGAGTAGGATGTGGGTTCATGTGTGTTCATTTTATCGTTATGCTACATATCGTACACATTTGTCATATATGCTATTGTAATGAGTATACCATTAAAAATAATAATCCAGAGGGAAAGACAACCCTGGTGGTCAAGATTCATAAGCACTAATCCTAAGAACAAAATTCTCCATCTTCTTTAGTTACAGGTAGGTATAAACTAGCTGGGTATTGGCAGCTCCTGGAATCATATATATTGGTCAAAACCAGAAGGATGTCAGATACCTAGGAATGAAACTTGCCCTTTCTATGTCTTGACAAACAAAAGTTCTTAATATAAATACAGATGAATTTACCAACAACTTTCATGGTTAGTTAAGCGCCTGCCTTCCGCTCAGTCACGATCCCAGAGTTTTGGGATCAAGCCCCACATTGGGCTCCCTGCTCAGTGGGGAGTCTGCTTTTCCTTTCCCTCTACTTCTGCCTCCGCATTCCAGTCATGCTCTAAGAAATAAGTAAAATCTTAAAAAAAAAAAAAAAAGGACATTCCCTACATTTTCTTCTAAAGTTTTAAAGTTTTGTCTTCACATTTAATCCATCTGGTGGTATTTTCTCTATAGGGTGAAGAGAAGAGCCAGTGTGTTTTGTCAGTAGGCATAACCAACTGATCCTGCACGCTTCCGAAATAGTCCTCTTTCTTCCGTGATAATGGAAGCTGCTTTTGAGATTAAATACTTCCTGATTTCTCAAGAGTTAGACCCTTCTTGGATTACGTTAAATTCTTGCTTCTTCCTGCCTACATGCCAAGACCCCCCTAGATTTAGCCCTTTGCCTATTAAATCTCTGATATTTTTAGACCCCTCTGGGTTAGTAAAGGACTTTTAGTAATCCCACTTCCAGCAACAGTTAAGACTGGAGTATAACCAATTTTGCTTTGCTAGACACAAAATACTTACTTGTGCCTGAGCCGTGGTGGGGAAATGGAAGGTTCCATCTTATGCTGAGAGTTTAGAGTTACGCTGGGCTTGAGTCAGCAGCAAACCCTCTCACAGACTTCCTAGTGTAGCACCAACTTGCTAACATCCCAGGCATGCAACAGAGGACTGCACAGCAACCAAATCCTCAAGCCCAATTAAACATAGAAACGAAAATGAATTTTCAGAAGAATGGGAATCTCTGTGCCTCTAATGATTTTCACCTGCAGTTTTAATTCTTTATGACTTATTTATTGATGATATAAATCTAGACAGAAAGACAGTTATAGAAAAACAATATTCTCTATTCTCTAGGAAAAGAAATCATGGTTGGGAAGCTAAATGACTTAAGCCAAATGAAGAATTAAAAAAGGACAGCTATAAGCAGAATAAGTCAATCAAAGAAAGATAATTATTTATCAAATGATCTCACTTATAGGTGGACTTTAAGAAACAAAACAGAGGATCATAGGGGAAGAGAGGGAAAAATACAACAAGATGAAACCAGAGAGGGAGACAAACCATAAGAGATTCTTAATCATAGGAAACAAACTGAGGGCTGCTGGAGGGGAGGGGGATGGGAGGATGGGGTCACTGGGTGGTGGATATTAAGGAGGACACGTGATGTAATGAGCACTCGGTATTATATAAAAATGATGAGTCACTGAACTCTGCCTCTGAAACTAATAATACATTATATGTTAACTTATAAAAAAGGATAGCTGTGCAGAATCCCAAGTGATAGAACATTAAACATCAACTGTGGAATGTCAAATGTTACAACCTCCACAGAAAGAACCCACTCTTTGGAAATTAGAGGTCTGGTGAAGATCAGGTCACTAACTTAGTGTCTAAAATGTCTTCACTTAACCAAAGAGTACACACACATCTTTCTAAGACTGATAGGAAATAAGACCCTGATAGCCTTGATTGGCTCATTTTCATGTTATGCTCTTCTAGAAGATTTCTCCATTCCCTCCAAAATAGCAACTGAGTGGGGGCTGAAGCTGCTTTCTACCCCTAGTCAGACCCTGTGACCTTTAGTCTCCCAGCACTGAAACAGTTTCTATTTATGTTGAAGTGGGAAGATCCCACAGCTGTGGTGCAAGGGATTCCCATGTGGTTTTGTGTCTGAGGTAGCGAGCACCCTTCTCACTCAACACAGTCCTGCTCTATGAGGCACCAGGAGAATATACTCGTAGGACAGAAGAGCACTAGTCCTGCCAAGACCCTCTTCTGTCTTCTGCAGACAGTGGTGCAGTATCCCTTCTTACCTCAGCAGCCGCAGCTCGGCCAGCAATGTGGGGTTCTGCTGCGCCTTCTCGGGGGTGGGCTGGGAAGCCTGCTCATGCTCCAGACGGAGACGCTGGATCTCTTGCAGGATCTCCCTAGAGAGGACAGATGAAAGAAATAGCTCTCTTTCCTGTCAGGACTTCTAACGCTAGTACAGTGGCCTCTACCAATCTTGTTCTGTTTCCAAATGACCCAGATGTGAAACAGCCACCTTCTGAACACTGCTGCATTTCGTATTTCCTCAATGAAACAATCCTTTGTGGTAGAAAGGCATATAAATAATCTTCTCAAGAACTTGAAAAATCTCCACAAAAAGAAAACAATCACTAGAATGGTCTGTTCATTTCTAGGGAAAAGATAAAAGAACTCCCCGCAACCTCCTAATGTTGGTCCTATGCTAAGTACCCCGCCTCGTACTCCCCTACCCCACCTTGTACTCCCCAACCTCCATATACCCCCCACCCCCACCCGTCTTTGTTTCTCTTCTTTCTCTTGAGCCACTGAGTGACAACAGCTACCATTTCTATTTCCTATGCCTGTTATGTTACATCCAATCTCCTTCTCCTGGTTTCTGCCTCTCAGGGCATACTGGTATGCTGTCTGGTCTCCGTGCCTGCCTGCCTGCCTTCCTTCCTCCATTTATTTATTTGATTGCATTTATCTATTTGAGAGAGAGAGAGAACATAGGCAGGGGGAACAGGAGGCTGAGGGCGAAGCAGTCTCCCTGCAGAGCAAGGAGCCTGATGCAGGGCTCGATCCCAGGTCCCTGGGGTCATGACCTGAGCTGAAGGTAGACGTTTACCCAACTGAGCCACCCAGGCACCTTCCTCTGTGTCTTTAAATGGCTTTGTGGTGAGAGACCAGACAGTCACACACAACACAGTGGGCCCGGATAAGATGACTAGACAGAGCAAAAGGGGGTTGGAGTGGAAAAGGGAATCATGGGAGGGGAACTGGTGGTGGGAGAAGGCACTGGGGTAAAGGACCCACCTGAGGGCCCGCGGGCTATCAGAATGCACGGCATGCACAGAACTACACATTAGAGTAGGGGCATTCCCATGAGTGCGTCTGGCCTATATTCACTGAGGCAGGATCTTCCTTTAGAGTCAAAAGCCAGGTAATCCACAAGGAAAATGAGAATCAGATACTCACGTGATGATCTTGGACTTTAGAAGCTGGCTCGACCTCTGCGTTCTTACCTGTTTTTGTTTTCCAGTTCTGCAATAAGCTGTCTTTGCTGTTTGTTGGCATCAGAGTTAAAGCTCAAGTCAGTGGGAGGACGGGTCTGCGGTGAAGAGAAAGAAAGGGTTTGTTTTTCTTTTTGTTGTTGTTGTTGTTGTTGTGTGTGTATGGTTCAACTATATCCTGAGTCCTAGACTACTGACTTTTTAAAAAAGATTTTTGAGGTATAATTTACATACCCTAAAATCCACCCATTTTAAGTATACCATTCAGAGTCTTAGTAAATTTAAACCGTTGTGCAACCGATCACCACAGTCCAGTTTTAGAACATTTTCCATCACCACAAAAAATTCCCTCCTGCTGGTTTGTTGTCAATTGCCACTCTCATCCCCAACCACAGGCAATCATTGATAACTTTCTGTCTATAGTTTTGCCTTTTCTAGAAGCTTCATATATACGGACTCCAACAACATGTAGTCTTTGGTTTCTGATTTTCATGAAGCATGATGTTTCTGAGGTTTGTCACTGTTGCTCCATGAATCAGGAGCTCCTTCCTTTTTATTGCTGAAGAGTATTCCACTGTTTCTAGTTTTTGACTCTTAAAAATGAAGTTGCTGTAAATTTTCATTTACAAGTCTTTGTGTTGATATATGGTTTCTTTTCTTTTGGTAAATATCTAGGAGTGGAATTCCTGAGTTATATGCTAACTCTATACTTAATATTTTGAGGAACTATCCAACTGTTTTCCAAAGGAGCTGTATCATTTTAGAATCCCACCAACAATGAGGGACACTTCTAATTTCTCCACACCATCAACACCTGTCACTGTCTTTTGTTTTAACCAGATTCTAGTGCATGTGAAATAATTTGTGGGGTGGTTTTTTTTTTAAAGATTTTATTTATTTATTTGACAGACGGATATTACAGAGAAGCACGCAGAGAGAGAGGAGGAAGCAGGCTCCCTGCTGAGTAGAGAGCCTGATGTGGGGCTCAATCCCAGGACCCTGGGATCATGACCTGAGCCGAAGGCAGAGGCTTTAACCCACTGAGCCACCCAGGCGCCCCTGTTGTTTTTTAAATTGAGATGTAATTTACATACCATAAAATCCATTAAGGTGTCCAATTCAGTGGTTTTTAGTATATTTACAAGATTGTGAGATAATTGCCACTATCTAACCACAGAACATTTTCATCACCTCCAAAAGAAATCCGTACCCATTAGCAGTCATTCCCCATTCCCACTACATCCACACCCTGACAACTGCTAACCCATTTTATATGTCTGTGGATTTGCCTCTTCTGGATATTTCATATAAACAGATTCATACAATATGTGGTCTTTTGTGTCTGGCTTCTTTCAGCAAAATGTTTTCAGGGTTCATCTGTGTTATAGCCTATATCAATACTTCGGGTTTTTTGTGGCTGAACAATATTGTTACATGGACCTACCACATTTTGTTTATGCATTCAAAGTTGATGGGCATTTGGGTTCTTCCCATTTCTTGGCTATTTTGAATAATGTTGTTCTGAGTATCTGTGGACATGTTTTTGTATACAGATAGGTTCTCATTTCTCTTGGGTATATGTCTAGGAGTAGAATTGCTGGGTCATATAGTAACTGCCTTTTGAGGAACGGCCAAATTATTTTCCTAAGTGGCTGCACCATTTTCCATGCTCACCAGTGATGTATGAAGGTTCCATTTTTTCCATATTCTTGTCAACACTATGATTGTACATCTTTTTGATCATAGTCATCCTGGTGGGTGTGAAGGGGTATCTCATTGTGAATTCAACTTGCATTTTCCCTATGACTAATCTGTGGAGCATGCTTTCATGTGCTTACTGGGCATTTGCATATCTTCTCTGGCAAAATCATCTGTGGTTTTGATTTGCATATCCACGGACATTCCAGACCTTCTTCGTTACCTCCTTTAAGAATATGGAAGCCAATCAACACAAACTAGGAGAACGGGTGCATAGGCAATAGTTCCCTTTTTTTTTCCATTAGCCAGATTGGAAGCTCAAAACGAAGGCTCTGCAATGGCTATAGGTTCGCACTCTGCACATATGTGGTTCTACCCAAAACATGACCTACCATGAAGCAGAAACCTTGTTTCCTGTCTAGAGCTTAAAGGTGCAATAAGTAATTCTTTTCATGTGGCATTTCCTAAATAAACAGGGGTAAAATAGCATAGCAAATGTGGGTGGGAAGCCTTTTTTTTTAACCTAATTTTTTTTCTTAAAAGAAAAAAGAAAGGTGATGTTTCTTCCTTTAGAGTTGACCAACAGCCAATTGAGCAAATTTTCTATATTCTTTCCAGAGTCTTATGAGAGCCAGAGCTGAGCCTTAGAAAAATGGCTTGCCTGGGACTGAATCTGCTGTGAATAAAAGATTTCCAATTCCTGAAAACTGGAGTGAAAACAAATGGCTCCTTATTAGTGTGGGATCAGGGAAAATTACGGACGAGGAAATGGGCTCTAGCATGAATTGGCTTTGTGATGGCAAACAAACAAAACCTCACAGTATTTCATTAGAAATTTCTTTTTTAAAAAAGATTTTACTTATTTACTTGAGAGAGAGAGAAAGAGAGCGAGCACAAGCAGGGGGAGCAGCAGGTAGAGGGAGAGGGAGAGGTAGGCTCCCCGCCAAGCAAGGAGCCCGATGTGGGGCTCCATCCCAGGACCCTGGGATCATGACCTGAGCTGAAGGCAGCCGCTTAACTGACTGAGCCACCCAGGTGCCCCTTCATTGGAAATTTCTAAAGATATTTTTCACTTTTGAGTTACTGCAAGGCTGAGGCTTCAATCAAGAGTTACTATCAGCAGCAATTCCTAACCAGGCAAGATTCTTTGGCACCAAGAAGTATTGTTACTCAAGTACTAAGAAGTGTGACTGGAAGATTTCTATCCCGAGGCACCAGTTCCACTGGTCTGACAACAGGGAGATCCGCCAGAGGTAGGGGTTGACGATGGCTTATTTCACCCAATCAAATTTTAAACACAGCGTAAATTAAACAAAAGACAAACTCAGGATTTTATTTATTTGCTATCTTAAACTCCGAAGTGCTTGTTTAAAAAAAAAAAAAAAAGGCCAGGGCTCTCTTTCTAAAATGCCTCTAGGATACTGAAGAGAAAAAGTCAGAAAGGGAATTACTAGTTCATAAAGACACAGAACACTTCAACTACAAGAGACCTAAGGATGATTTCTTTCAAAAATCAACTAGTTAATTCCTTTATTCAGCAAGTATTTCCTGAGCACCTATGATGTGCTAGATATTGTTCTAGGAAGTAGGATGCATGAGTGAGTAAGATACAGCCCCACCCTCACGTAACTTACTTGGTGCTGGGAGAGAAAGATAAGGAACCAAAGGTGTAAGTATGGATCATTAGTAGTGATAAGTCCAATGATGAAATACGGGCTAATGAAACAGAGTAAACGGAGACAGAATACTCTTTTTGAAAGAGGTGATAACGAAAAGGCTCTCAGAGACTCAGTCGAGTGGGGAAGCAAACCAGGTACTGGGCTTAAAGACGGGTGTGCTGGGCAGAGGCCAAGGCTGCAGCTGCTCCATGATGAACAGAGTGGGCTTTGCTGAAAATGGTAACGGACTCTAGGAGAGGACCCTGGGCCCCGATCACCAAGGGACATTTAGCACTGGAAAGGAGTTTCTATTTCATTCTCAAAGTGATATAAAGCCACTGTAGGATTTTGAACAAGGAAATACGGAATCAAGTCCAAATACTGTAGGTACAAATTCTGCCTTCAAGGAGATGGAGCTTAACTCTCAGTCCTTTCGTACAGGCTGTCCGTAGCGACTTCTTTCCAAAGAGGACAGTGTGGAAAGTGGGGGAAGAGTAACTTTATGTGGACAAAACCTGACAAATACTCCCTTGGCTAGGTGATCAAGGTCAACATCAACAGTGATAAATGATACAATGGAAGAAAAATGGCGTTTACCTCTTCCTCCTCAAAAGCTATAACTCAAGTCTAATCATGAGAAAAACAACAGACTACTCCCATTTAAAGGACATTCTACAATGTATTTGACTGGTACTCCTCAAAGCTGTCAAGGTCATCAAAAACAAGGGGAGTTAGAGAAACTGCCACAGTCTAGAGGAGTCTAACGGGTAGGACAACTAGATGTAATGTGCTATCCTGGATGGAGTCCTGCAACGGAAAAGGGACATTAGATAAAAACTAACAAAATCAGAACAAAGTATGGGCTTTGCTTAATAATAAGGCGTCAACATTGCTGCATTAATTGCAATATGCGTGCCATGCTGATATAAGATGTTAACAACAAGAGAAACTGAGCATGGGTTATTTGGAAACTCTGTAGTAGCTCCGCAATTTCTCTATAAATCTAAAACTGTTCTATAATAAAAAGTTTATAAAAAGTGAACAAACTCTGCTTTGGCTCCTATACAGAGAATTTACTGTAGTGAGAAAAGAATGGAAGTAGATAGGTTAGTGAGGAATCTTAGCTTTTGCTGTCTACTCACCATGCAAACCTTGAGTTATTTTATTTCCCTATACTTTTCTTTTCTTAGCTGTAAAATGGGAATATTTACAGAAAGAGATGTGAAGAGGATCAACTCCTCTGTTACAGAAGCATTCTCTCAGGTTTAGGTAAAATCACAGAGCTCCAACATCTTTAATGAGATGGAGCTACATCTGAAAAATACAGGGTAAGAAACAGGACCCCTTTGGGCAAAACTGGGCAAATGTTACAAAACGAAGGAAAGCCAATGCAGGTAGCAAACTGGAATCTTATGGCACATATTTCTGAAATCTAAAAAATGGACTCGAGGCTTCCCATCTCTATAAACTTGGCAGGCTGAGTTCCAGGGATGTGCCTGATACCCACTAGGCTTTCTCCCATTTCTCCTATACCAACTGGAGGGCTATAGATTACTAATCCCTCAAAAACCCAATGTTTATTAGGGTAGTGGGTGCCCAACTAGCTCTAAATCAGAAAACTGAAGTTTTGCTTTTCCTCCTTAAATAAAAATCAGTGGACTCTAAATAGAGATTCTGATTTAGTAGGTTGGAAGCAAAGCCAAGGATCACTAGCTTTTAAATGCTTCAGACATGATTATAGT